ACGCAGGCCACTCGCACCCGCATCAACAGCAGCACGCTCTGGCCCAACACCACCTGCAGCAGCAGCAGCAACAGCAACAACAGCAGCAGCAACAGCAACAGCAGCAAATGGCCAACCTGCTGTCGGCGCCGGTACAGGGACCTGGCGCGGGCCTGGCGACGCCGTCGCGGTTGCTCGCCTCGTCGATGGTCGGCTCGCCGGCCGGCGGTCTGATGATGCAGTCCGTCTCGGCCAACCTCACGACGGCGACGACGGCGACGCCGACCGACGCCGCGACTGCCGCCGCCGTTTCTGAAGCCTGTGCAGCCGCGGCCGCGGCTGCTGCCGTCTCGGTGGGCGGCTGGGACGCCACGACCGCGGCCAACATGGCCTCGCTGTTGGTGCCGCCGTCGAAGAAGAGGGCGGAGAGCTTCTTCGTGGAGGAGATCAAGTTGATGCTGTCCGAGATCGAGAAGCACAAGCACATTCTTCTTTCGATGGCGCCCTCCACGAGCAAGCTGAAGCGGCGCGCCTGGGAGGAGGTCTCCGCGTCAATGGCCACCCATTGGCCGCACGCGCCGCGCAGAACCGCAGACCAGGTGAGTCCTTCTGGCCTTTCTGCTTTCTCTTTCTCTCTCCAGCTTTTTCTTTTTATTTCTCTCCTTATTCATTCTTCGTTTCCTCTTTCTCTATTTATACAGCCGCGACTTGGCCACTTTGTCTTTGCGCCCTCGGTTCCTTAACGGCTTTTCCTACAAGTTTACTGATATTATCCAAACCTACCCATTGTGACCGCAAATATTGTGGTCAATTACTTGGCCAAAATACCAAAAACCGTTTTGCGGATGTACCCTATGCTGAAAATCACGAATACTATGGCAGAGATTGTGCGACTAGCTATGTTCCACAATGTCTCCCTGACGCTCCGACCAAGTTGCGAAAACAAGGTCGAACCAACATTATAGAGCTAAAGGACACGATCAAAATACCGGTTTGCCTTAACCATAATCTCAGAATTGGGACAGTTCTGACTTTCCACGACCCAGTAGCACTCGTAGCAGTATAGCATAGTGACAACTCGTCAAAAAGACATGCCACGCCAATAAGGCTTAAGCCCTGTTGATGGAGCTGAAAAGACAATTTCAAGACATTTCGAGACTGCAGTCTACACCAATCTGGATGATACTAGCCTATCAGACATTCAATGTGTTGTGGGAAGTTTTAAGTATCAGCCCCTCATCGCTATGTGCGAAAAAAGCAGAATGTTGTCTCGCAGTCTCCTTTCGCTGTTTGGAACTGGTTTCACCCCGTGTTCACAACTCGTGTCTGTTGTTAGGATGATTTAGATGAATGCACATTGTCCGTAGTCCTCTGCCATAGTAATCATTATAACTTCCAGTATCGGACTTGGTTCATTTCCAGACGTTGCGCCAACACCGTAATCAGCATCGTCGGTGAGTCTGGCCAGGCTTATATTTGAAACGAACAATAGAGAGAAGTGGCGCTAATCCATTGGCTGACTTTCTATAGAACTCGCTCACTTCGGCTGCGGGAAAAACTTTTGGGAATAAACCAAGCGCACTGGAAGTCATCTTGGATACTGTGACAGAAAACTGCCTACATTGTGGGTTCATATAGATCACCCTGACAACTTGGCCAAGTTGTGAAATCCAAGTCAAACTATTATTAATTAGGCATTAAGAGTGAATTGATATGTAGTCAAAGGTGCGAAGAAATGGGAGATGTTGTGGAACGCATTCAGTCTCGCATATACTGCCAGCCATAAACCAGTGTTGACTGGCTACTTTACCAGACGTTTCGCCGGCATCCTCAATGAGCGACACCATTCTTAGTATCGGGGTTTAAGTGGCCAGTTTTCTGTTCAACCATTAGCAGTCTGTCCTCATCCACTATACTGCCTATGACCCTGTGTCACCTCAAGTGGATGTAAGGAAATGTAATCACCTTCAGTTTAGGTTTCAGCCACCGTTTACAGGGCTTCTGGAGACCAATTCGAACTTGTGTCTAGCCATCCCCTCCACCCACTTGCGTAACTATTTTTCCGCTTAATCGAAAGCATGAGACCAAGATGGTGAGGCGTTTTTTGTGGTCGCAGTCTCCTTCCGTTGTATAGAAGTTGTTTGACCTTATTTTCGCAACTCGGTCATATTGGTAGGAAGACTAATAGGAAAGTAACTTGTCCTGAGTCCATTGTATGCATAATTATTTTCAGAGTCGGACCCTGGACGCGGTACATTCCCAGACGTTTCGCCGA